AATGACATGGCTCATACTCGTTCGCAATGGCGCCAGTGCATTTATTCTTTGTGTTCTCTCAAATCCTAATCTTCTGGGTTCTTCAACACCTCTAGTTTTGACTTTCTAAACTTATCTCACTGAATCATACTTCTTGAATAGTATTTTCTAACCCTAAACTCTCCGATTACTCCTAATACCTTTACTACCTCTTCTACTATTGGATTTGAAATGACAATTACATCTCTGTGCTGATGTGGTATGGCGACATGAACAGATGTACTTACGTACGAAGTTCTACGTTGCATCTGACCGACTGACTGACTGGATATGTGTAAAGTAGATAATAGATGTCGATGTATCGATGCTTGTTGTATATGTCTCTTTTACAAAGGACAAAATACTGATATTTCATCATGATACTAACGAGAATAAGGTGGGTTTAACTGTCTTCGGTTTTCTTCTACGAACGCTCTATGTCTCTGAACTATACTGTCCATCAACACTCCAGGCAAAACAGCGGAAAGACCACTGACTTGTATGGGATTAAGATGGAAATCATATATATGTTTATAGATTTCTGTAATTAAACATAAAATAGGTCCAAAGTTTCTTTCAACATGTTGGTCCAAGCTTTTTTCAAGGGAAATAATCAAACTTCAAAGTGTTTTTGTATAAATACATGGCTTGCAACTTCAGTGTATATCAAACAAATCGTCAAATTATGTTAAAAATACTGAAAGTCGAGTTTCTTATAGTGCATATTGAGTAACTTGGTGTGAAAAAGTAAGGAAAACTGTGGTAAGATAGTGGGTATATGTATGTTTGCGTTGATCTGATATGATAAATGTATATTGACCACATGTCGCCTGCGCTCATGGTTGTTGATGGAATTCGATAGATGTTATAAATCCAGAATCCTACAGCGTGCATAAAATGGGAATAACTAAAGAAATAAATATACGTTCGTGCTGTGTTACGCAAACCGGTTATTACTCAAATAGTCAGACAAATTAACTATTTAAACGAGATGAAAGTTATTGTTCTTGTCTACATAATAATTGATGAGTTGAAATAAGTAAAAGGAAATTCTAATTAATCAGTTAATTAGTGGTTTCCTAGCTACAGCTAATTGTGTTCCATCTCTTGTATTTATACTATTTCAGTTTGACCATTTACGGGCTTCATCTGTCTGTCTCTATTCATACGAAACAAAACAATATTGAAATATTCCTCTGCAACTGAAATCAATTATACATCCAGATTCTATTAAATGAATTGCAGTTGTCCACTTGATTTCTAGTTTTTTTGAGCAAATTATATTCCTTTACACCCAAATAGACAACTTGATGTTGTCAGATATGCTGTTGACGTTTTAGAAATCCCGTACCCCAACCAGATATTAGGAGAATGGGGACTCTTCGGGAATGCACCCATTCCCAATGGATGTAAAAATGATTTGGTGATAATTGATGCAACCAGTGATCTCATACCCATATCTAGTAAGGAACTAACCGGGTTCTTTTCAAAAGCTTGAGGGTGTCCGAACCTAAAGAACTGAAGCGACACTCATCCCTATCTGTATAGAAGGGTTTCGTCATCTATGTAGAAACTATGGGACGATAAGTCTACTTTCGATTGCATCTAAACTGTTGACTGTGGTGGTGTTTCGTTCTCTGAGCTGGTTGTTTTGGTTGTGGAGCTTTCATTGTTCTTCTGAACAACATCACCACCATCTCAAAACTGTTGACTTCACAGAATGATCAATATATGTTGAAAAGAGAATTATGCTGACTCATTCTGGTCACAGATATATTGATTGTATCTTCACTCTCCGCCAAATTTCAGATTGCCTCCATACTAATAGCAGGTCAGTAGTCGTTATGTTGTATCAAGTCAGTGGCACCTGAAATTCGTTGGACGAGACTATCTTCTGGAGTTGTTTGTTGAAAGAGGGTGTGTCCGGAAGGTTATTAACATCCCAAAAGCTGTCTATAAGCACAGTCAGAGTAAAAGAACACAGTCAACCTATCTGGAGTATTTCTTGGTGGTAAACTGACGCTAGGAAGGTGTTGGAAGTCTAGGGAAGTGATTAATCCATAATATGGTAACGTGGCATAACATAAAATCGTATAGTTCTAGTGTCTGTGGGTTCATTATGATTATCCCGGCTAGAGTTCTAGAGATTGTTCAAATTTATGGATTACTATGTCATTGGATATGACTCAGAATGACAGACGGAAAAGCAAACTAACACAGAGATATGAGTCAGCTCAAGTTGCCGTACTGATTTATTGCGACGAAGTAAATTATGGTAACAGAGATAGGAATAATTTAGTAGTCTCACGAAGGAAGGACCATACATAAAGAGTGTGGCTTGGAAAGATGAGTTGAGAAAGTATATATGAAGGAATATTGTAATTCAAAATCGGGAGGGAGATGAAGATTGGATGTTCATGCACTACTGTGACTAATTCAGAGTCATGTTACTCAAGGTCTCTAATCACTGACAGCGATTGTTCCGCGGACCTCAACCATGTAGTCTAAATGTCCCAAAATTACTAGAACAAACAATCGAATTTATGAGCTGTCTGCATATCTTCATTTAGCCGCCACTGGCTTTTTCCCAAGTAACACCTGTAGTAGTGAGCATTGCTGTTCGAGGTAGGCAGTGATTGGGCATATCTAACATAAGTCTCAGTCACTTCCGTCGATAAAGATTCGTGACCTTATCAAATGATCCCTCCATACCTTTGATGATTAAATTACTCTATGCCAAATTTGATGTGATTCACTCGGTCATTTCACAATACGTGAGCAATGCCTTAGGACACATTCCCGAAATCTTCTAGCCTACACAAGTCTGCTGTTTTTATAGGCGATATTTCACAACCGCAAAATAGAACGGAGTAGACTGTTTAACAGTATACACGCCATTTGATCGGTGAGCGGAAATCTCGCATGAACAAGAGGCCAGCCATCAAGGCTTATCAAACTTATTTTGAATTTAGCTCCGATAACATTTTGAATTGTTTTCTAGTCAATATTTGAATAAAACCCAAAAGATTATGGGGTTTATTTATGCATTTTCGGAGGCTTGTTTGGTTAGTAGTAACATGTGGCTTTGTCGATAACTACGCCTTTGAGAATAAGATCACTGGGTTCAGATAAGTGAACTAAGCTGAGTTCCTATTTGCATTGAATTAGTGAATGGTGTTTGTTTACCTAGAATTGTAAGAACCTTTTTAATTGAGCCGGACGTCGTGTCCAATTTGTTATACTGTATAATCGAATTTCAGCAAAAATTGTTGTGATTAGTAACAAACTGAAAGATCGTTTCATTTATGAGTAGAAAATTATTTAAGTGATAGCAGATACTTATAATAGATAAGTAGACTAAGGATTAGAATTTCCCTTTTTCTTACCTAGCTGGAACAGACTAATCATCATCTGACTGTGTTATTCGGAAAGATTAGTAGAGTTCGTGATGGGTCATACCAATGAATATGTTAGAATATGATGTATCTTTCAGATTTATCTAAGATTTTTCAGTTTTTCAAAAGTATCAACTTCGTCATGGTCGTTTTACTTCAAACTATGCATTTTCTAAAACATATTCCTACCGTGAGATGGTATTCGATAACAAAGATCTACAGAAGATACAAAGTGACCAAATTCTATTGTCAATTGGGATTTTAAATACTTTTTTATAGTAAACTAACATTTGACATAATTGTTAACTTTGTATTTTGTAAACTTCACTTTCATTACGTTGTTATGAATATTTGAATCTTTAGAAAATTGATCAAATGGAAATCACTGACGGTACAAATTCCTGTCTGACAAATTTACTTCAGTGTATTTTAGCTGGTTGGATTTCTGTTGATTATGAACATTCGAATTCTGGTATGCATTTTCATATTTCATTTCTATATGAATAGCTGGATTATATTTTTAATTTCCTACTAAATTTTCATACTCTCAAGTTTTTGTAACAATGTTCACTCATAAGATATTATTTAGAGAATTAATTAACTTGACCACTTCAGACAGACGAAGCTGAAACCAGAACAATCGTGTAGCGATTTTTGACAAGTTTAAAAAAATATGACAGTCAGTCAATCACCAACAACATAGAACTTCGTTTGTACGTACATCAGTTCAGGTTGCCATACTACATTAGCACAGAGACATAATTATCATTTCAAACCTCATAGTAGTATAGGTAGTAGAAATATTAGCAGTAATCAGAAATCTTAGGGTTCGACGATATTATTCGGGAAGTAGAATCCAGCGGTGGAAGTGGATAGGACACACACTACGAAAAGCACCTAACTGCGTCACGAGACAAGCCCTTACATCGAACCCTCAAGGGAAAAGGAAAAGAGGATGGTCAAGGAACATATTACGCCGAGAAATAGAGAAAGATATGAGAGGAATGAACAAACATTGGACAGAACTAGAGAGGGAAGCCCAGGACATGGTTGGTTGGAGAAAACCGGTGGGCGGCCTATGCTGCATTGGGGGTAACAGGCGTAAGTAAGTAAGTATGATAACATCCAATATCTGTTCATTATACAAACACAAGTGATGCCGAAATAATAGAGAATACTTGCAACTTCGGTGAATACATTTTCAAAGTGTTATGCACTTTGAAATGGATAGTTTAACTGCAAAGCCTCTATTGTCGTCTAAAAGTCACCATTATACATTTCTACATGAAGCGATAACGACACTAAACAGACCAAAATTAAACTACCTACATCTGGGAACACAACACCGTGAATAATGATTTTCAAATTGAACTACATGTATGTAACAACATTTTGGCATGTTTTGACGGTACTTCATCACTGATCAAAATTTATCCCAGATTTATTGATTACAAAGGAAAATTCATACGTTCAATTCATGTCTCCTACAGTTTATGTGGTTAATGCGGAAAATCGTAACGAAAACAACCGAGCAAAAAGAATTTCTAAATGAACAAACATTTTGAAAGTCTTCGTAATTCATTAGTTAATTAATTGATTATAATTGATTAATTAGGTTACATAACAAATTGACAATAGATAGTAATTTCTTCGTTGAACAAACAATTTATCAATGGGGTAGTAACTAGAAAAATAAAATTGTCTCACTAATGATAGTTTTTAAAAACAAAATTACAAATAACATGTTTGATGTTACAATAACAAAAAATGTGTTGTTACAAATCTGTTTTTTAACTATTCCTCATCTCTGTTTGTATATGTATATATGTATATATATGTGTATGCGTATGAGTGAAGTGTGTACAATGTTAACACTGGTAAACAAAATGTTTCAGGTCACACAGAGGTTAAATGTAATGAAGATGGTGATGTAGAATGAAAGTAATCTCATTTATTACAGATCATCGCCACATTGATCAAACTAACACCACACAAAAAAAAAACAATAATAATAATGATAATAAACGAGATCAGTTCATAATAACAATAATAATGTATAACATATTTTGCTCTATTCTGTGTATTTTTGCAATGTAGTTTACAAACGGATGTGTTGGTCGAGAAAAGAAAATCAATAAAAATCCAGTGAATAAATGAAACAACAATTCATCAGTCCATATTATAAAAAGACTGAGAAAATCAGCACAATAGGTTGCATTATTGATTGGTGAGATTTAGTGCATTCTGTTTGTTTGTTTGTTTCGTTTTGTTTTATTTTAAATCTAATTTATAAAAACAAAATTTCTGATCATAAAACAATGATTAGAATAACACAATTCTTTTTTTTTTAAAAAAAAAAAAAACAAAGACAATTTATACAATAAATGTAAATATGTACATAAGTAAAGCAGAGATAGCACCAGCAGCCGGTAAAGTTACTAACCATGCAAGTAGAATATTACGAAATATGCCCCAATTAACATTATCTTTAGATCGTGCACGTCCAACAAATACAACAGAACCAACTTTACAATGTGTAGTTGATATTGGCAGACCAATTTTACTAGCAATCAGCACAGTTAGCGCTGAACCGATTTCAATGGAAACACCACTAAAATGAAATAAAACAACAACAACAACAACAAATAATACTGTTAACAATAAAAGACAATCCGATCTACAATATCGTGAGTATATCAATAAAGAAAAGCAATTCAAACATCTTCACAAACACTGTACCAAGAATAATTATGTGGTCTCTAGTGACTCTGATCAATTCAACAAGGATTTTCAATAACAAATATTAACACTAGTCGAATTAATCCGATCACATGACTCACATAGTCAGCTGAATAATACAAATTAGATTTCTAAACAAAGTGACATATTAAAAGAACCCACACACTTAGCAAGCATTTGCATAATCCGCCGCAATATCCATGCGAACCATTGAAACTGATCGAAAACGAGCGCAAACAAGACATGAAATATCCACAAGGAATATAATTATTCTATTGCAAATCAATTACTTACCTGGATGGTGTCATTTGCGATAGATCTTCTCCCAGTGTCTGAATAACTCGTCTACCCCATATCCAAAGACCGACTGATATACCGACACCACCATAAACTAAAATCCATAAATCTGTAGTTTTAGATGAATCAACCAACTGTGTTGTGGCAATAAGCCATAAACCAATCAATGGCCCGATAGCATTACTATATAAAATAAATCATTGCCAAATAACACAAGCAACAGTTTGAAATGAATAATCGCAACAAGATTATTATTATTATTATTATTATTATTATTATTATTATTAGTAGTAGTAGTAGTAGTAGTGGTAGTAGTAGTAGTAATTTTATGGTGAAAATGTTCTGTGATTCGAGTGATCCAAAATTAACTAATTTCATAATGCAATTCCTAAATAATTAAAATTGCAGGATCCAACTTGCCATTTAACTGTGATAGAGTAGGAGGTGTATGGAATGGGAAGACATTCACTGCATAGTGTTTGTTTCGACAAAAAACAGTGTACACGTACAAGAATACTGAGAGAGCTTTATGGAAGAAATATTGTAAACGATTATGAACAATTGCGGAATTCCATTGGGCTTTCTCTTTTTTTTCTCAAACTACAGCACTGATAATACTCTATTAGGAATTATATATACTTGAGTCAGAAGGAGAAAAAACATCAAAGATTACAATAACACATTTTAAAGTTTCCAAAAATCATAGTACGTTCTATTCAGATGTGCATCAATTGATATCATTTCATACGAAGTACCTAATGTAAACAAAAACAGACAGACTGACAAGTGTTACACTGTTGTTTGATAACAATCTACTCCATTTATAGGTGATAATTATTGATTGTGGAAATTTGAAATGATTTTCTATACCAATGATTAGTAGAAATAATTTTTTTCCAAATTTTGAATATATGTAATGAGTAGTATATTTATACATATAATTCTAATTAACACTGTTGGAATTTGCAGTAAATAATTGTATATAGAATATGTGAAACATACATACCTTACATCGTTGCCACCATGAGCAAATGATCCAAAAACAGCTGTTATAATTTGCAAAGATGAAAATACTTGAGCTTCGGCTGGACGATCTTTAATTAAATCGCTATGATCTGGTTCCTGTTATTCAGTGGAATCAACACAAAAAAAACAATTTATTCACAATGCAATCTACATGTGACAAGTGAAAATATACACACTAGTATTTTTTATTCTTTTTAAACAAACGATATTTGCAAATTCATCGGTAGAATAAGTCAGGTCAATTTATCTTCATTGTTAATTTAATTGCTGTCTGTCATGTAGAATTTACTAGTGGATACAGAGTGTCTAGAGGAATTATCCACGTTTATTATTATCGTTAGTTTGATAAAGATTTAGGGATTCACCAGACGCATTACTATCTCGAATCAATCAATTTTAGAATATTATTAGAACCCTGTGGGCACTTTATGGCTGATTCGTCCTAGTATGGGTCTCATCAGCAATGCGCATCCATCACTACTACTACTCACAGGATTCCAATCAAGCATCTTCGGCATGGCACGACAACGCTTAACTCCGCATCACTGAGCTGCCATCTGACGGTGCTATTGTCTATCTTCGATCAATCTACAGTCTTGCGTGACCACATCCACTATATTTGATGAGCACTGCTTCATACCCGAACAGGACTCAACTCCACTGGTTACGACTTCTCACTCGAAAACCAAGAAACTCCCTCACACACCTGGTCACAAGTGAGCACATGAAGACAGTGAATGACGTTGCGCAAGACCGCAGATTGATTGAAGTGAGACAACAACACCGTTAGATACCAATTCAGTGGTCAAGAGGTTAAGCGTTCGCGCACAAGACCGATAGTCCCTGGTTCGAATCATGAGAGTAGCAGGAGTCGTAGATATGCACTGTCGATGAGTGAGCATATGAAGAAGCACAGTGAACGAGGTCGCGCGAATTTTCGTTTATCATAGATGATATTTAAACGTGAAGGGAAATAATTAATACAAGATCAATCAAATAGCTGTAAATCAATTTATAGTATTGTGTGTGTGTGATTTAATGCATACTGTAACGATCCACATACACAATTAATTGTATATGTAGTATTGTGAAATAATATGACAGACTGAATACGAACTATTGTGTGACCTTCAACTAACCTCTGTATGTTCAAATGTAACATCACTGCCCATATAGCACTCAGTTGTTTGTATTACACTTTGCATATTTTCAATATATGTGCTTTTGTGGATGATACTTTGTGAAGTTGAAACATTTATCTGAGTGCTTGCTTTATATGTGTCCATCATCCCTACTATGATGTTTAATGTTTGTGATTCATGTATTTTTACTATATATAGAGACTAAGCCACCCATTATGCTATGAGTGAGCTTTTGCAATCACTTCTGTCTTCAATGTCCCAAATACATCCTATTAACGCAGTTAGTTGACAGAATATATACGAACCTAAGGGTAGAATTTGTACTTCAACAATTTCATTCACGTTCAGTCAGTCAGTCAGTCAGACTGACAGTCCAATCAATAAAGAGTCAACCACAGGTACTGGAATACACAGCCTTGTAAGAATATGTGCTATCATGAAAATCTATGACTGCACAAACTAAAATGTACCAACTCCGTTGTAAACTCTTACTTCCTTACACCTGTTAGCTCCAATGGAGTACAGACTGACTATAACATCAGATATCCACGAATTAGTCGTAGTTGTCTAACCTGTGTCCCATGTGTTTCACTAATTCCAAGCAGCTCCAGGTTGTATCTTTTCATCTCTGCAGCAATCGAGAACAGTCTTCCGGTCTCCCACAATGTTCGAACGTTCAATGCACCAAGGAGACTGGTTGCTCTGATTGTCGGAAGAGGCATCGACCTCGTAACTTCCGAAGGAACTCAGCTTTCATCGCGAGACGTCATAACTCTTCTGAATGAAAATCTTCTTACTGTCACGACAGAGTCAAAATGGTTTGAATCATTTTTTCCTGGGGCTCAATGCGGAGTTCTACTCCTGCTAGTTTCTACATTGGTAGTAATTTACTGTTAGATAAGTGCCAACTATTCAAAACTATCAAGTAATTTTCTGAAAAAAATATATCTATCAAAATGACGAAACGAGATAAATACTGAATTAGGCTACTCACTTCGCCAATTGTAGACAGGTTGGGAGGGGATGATACAATAAATTTTCCGTTGGTCAAATTATGACTACCATCCCCGATGGCGTTTTGATCATTTGATGAATAGCCTAATGTCATGTTTAACTGATTACTATTACGACCCATTTCATCTGGATTACTTGGTTTAACATCGAATTCTATGTAACATGCATTGAAAAGAGGAGTGAAGCATATATGAACAATTTCATTTGAATCAGAATAAACTTAGACTGAAAATCACGTGAAATAATAAAGCTAAACATTTGTTAAAGGAAGCACAAAATTAATATTCACCAGGATGATTGGTGATTCTGCCTTAACAATAAGCACAATCTTCTTTTCATCAAAGTCAATCAACTAATCTATGGTAATAATGAAGTAACAATTGAATCCATAATCTAATCATGTTTTCGAATTCTGATGTGTTTGAATTTGGGAAAGTGAAAATCCTAAGCAAAATGATCATGACATATAATATGGTCGTTAAACTGGACGAGGCTGTAATTCAGTAAAATTCACCTAATTCAATGTAGTCTTAATGAGAATAATACTAACAATAATCTCGAGATTTCAGTCCAGAGAACGTTAGTTAGCACGATTTATTATTGCAATCGAGAAGTTAATCATATGCACCTTTAATAATGAAGCCCAATAAAACTTGGCAACATTTAATCTCACTGAATTACATATTCTATGATATAAATGATAACTAACTAACTAATAGAGATCGATTCACTCTATGCATTGATATAAGTAATTCAAGTGATAAGATTTTCATTGAAACCAATTAACCATACATAGTTTCATCGTATTGATGTTGTGCTATTAAAACATTGTGTAGAAAACAAAAATATTTTCTTCATTAAATTCTTATTACTGATAAGTAAACAATCAGTTACATCATCAAAAGTACTTGTTAAACTTAATTATTAATTTTAATGTAATAGATTTCAGATATAAATTTTACATTTAATTTTCACTACATAGAGAAGAAGACCACCGTCAAGTAAGGTTTCATATTGACAATCACTCTCCTAGTGGGCGACTGGATGATGAAGATGTCAACATCTGAGGGGAAGTATCCCTATCTCGAAAGCAGCATCAAATGCGCTTGAAGACGGACACTGTGGCAGCAACATCTGCAACATCAGATATCAACGTACACAAGGGAAAAAGCAACATCTGATACAACACACCATGCACCAATCAAATCACATTTGACGGAGATGCATTGGAAGACACCGAGACTAATACATGTTTGGGCGACAACGTAAACAAACATGGTGAATATAGTACCTATCTAAAGACATCGATTAGCAAAGTAAGCGCAGCTTTTCAATAATTGAAGAACATCTGGAACTCATAAAAACTATCAACCAACACCAATGTCACAACTTTCAAAAACAGTTCTACTGTATGAGGCGGAAACTTGGAGAACCACGAAAGCCATCATTCACTGGATACAGGTGAGGGTGGATAGGACACACATTGGCGAAAGCACCCAAGTGTCTCGAGAGACAAGCCCTGACTATGAGCACTCAACGCCAAATGAAAAGAAGAAGATCTAAAAACACAGTACGCTGAGAACTGGAGACAGACATGAAAAGAATCAACAAAAATTGGACGGGAATGGAAAGAGACGCGTAGCACAGAATAGTTTGGAGAATGTTGGTCAACAGGTTGGGCTCCATTAGGTGTAACAGGCGTCAGTAAGTAAGTAAGTAATTAAATACAGCAGAAATATTTAACTTCATTGATCATGTATGAAATTTATTTACAATTAGGAAATAGTCTTCTTTTACCGTGAATTTTAATCCACTGAGGAATGAAATTAACACAAACGAACATTGAAGTTGAAATCATGAAAAAAAATCCAATTTACAATCATCACTCTCAATGCTTAAAATAGGAATATAAAATATCTCATTCATCTATAAATTGTTACCATAAACACAGTGTGTTTCAGTAATTTTGGATTTACTATTTTAAGTCGATTCATGATAAAATTTCGTTTTAATGATCATATTTGTAGTAAGTATTGTTTGAATGCGACTAATGACTGTTGATTTTTAACATCTAGTATGACAGTTTAAGTACCGCAATCCGTTTTTATTTGACAGCTTTGAGACAGTAACAATTTATTTTATAAAAATAATTTGACATCTGATATTCGAAATCAGATAACAATAGTTTAGTATCAGAATTCTATGACTGATAAAAACTGATAATGATAAGGTTTCGGTCGTAGTCACCGTCACAACTAGATGTATCCTCTGTTTATGAATGACAATATACAGAAATTTTTTCCAATGAAATTGAATACTATTGATTTTTCGTATCATTGTAACACAACATTACTATCATCATCTTTTAGACATATTTATAGAGTATGACGTGAATGGCATTATTGTGAGAATACGCCGAAATTCATTCAATGTCCTTTGAGTTCATAAATTACATTTAAATCATGCCTTTCAAAAATTATTTCGTCTATGCCAAGTTTATGAGTCGTTAAAAAGTCTACACGATCAACCTGTGAAATTGTATTGGTGTAGACCATAGGTTATCCGTTTACAGAATAGATATCCATGCAATGCAAAATTAGTATATTCATACCTTTGTATATTTGCTTTTTTTATGCTTAGAAATATATTTTACCTGCATTCAATACTCTGATATTTTATACTGTTTAAAAAATATTGCTGACACAGTGATTTGAATTGATAATCATCACTTACAGGTTAACGATACGCTACACTTAACTATATCGATCAAAATCCACCCCTGAAAAATACAATTCATGGTCATGGGCAGTGTGTATTTACAATGAATGATAATATGAAAGAGTGAAGTTTATCTTTGGTTTTTCAGTGATTAATTAACAAAGAACAATTCTGTAAGTGAAAATCTGACCTTAAGTTGACTTTTAAACCGTTTACACCTAAGAAAAAAAAAATGCATACATTCTATCACTAGATTGAATGATTTTAATGCGTTTTGTGTTTAACTGTATCCTTCGATAAAAAAGAAATTGCTATTGACATTGAAAGAATTCATTAGAGTTTGCAATTTTGAAGCAAAATATCAATCAGATATACAATGTTGGTGAATTCTATAGAAATTGAGTTCAGAATGGTTGATTCTATGGAATGACTAGAAATACACCATCAGATTGAAACATGTAATTTGTAAACAGTATCAAGTATCATCATGGCTTCGAAAAGTAAACAGGTTTAAGCGGGCAACTGATAATTATGACTCTAAACTACTGTTGTTCTACCGTGTTGAAACTTCAACAAAATATAATACGATCACGTCCTTAATATCAGGTCAATCAGTCTTTCTAATGTTTAAGCAGACGCATATGTAGATTGGTTCACGTTTTCACACCACATTACTACAGCAAGACCAATTGCAGAGAATTCAAAGTAGCAACATTATTACTAGTAGGAGTAGAAAAGTAAATGTACAAACGGAAACATTGTAGGTAAATACTCTTGTGGTTTACAGTGTATGTCACGTCAATTGATAAAACCAGACACATCTGTGTATTTGATTGATCTGCAACTTACTATAGGCTAATAAGACAATCCACAATATAAAATAGAAATTGATCATGGATCAAAATAAAACAATTTTCATTTACAAAAGATAATCAATCATTAAACTACAATGTTTTACGTTATTTTAATATTGATTTGATAGGTTTCCTGTAGATTTAATACTTTGTACACAGTATCAACATATTTTGAAATTTATGTAACTTCAGCAGCAGAATTTACAAGAAGCATGACAAGTGTTTTTTTTTTAGGGAAAAGAATACAGATAATCACTGACAGTAGAAATGTTATTGTCACCTTTTCATATACTCAGTGCAGATACACATCGTACACTTGTGATAGTGTGTCAAATTAACCATACCGTATACAATTGTAAAACAACTTCATCAAAGTCTACTATACTAGGTAAATATTAAAATACACAAACTCTGATTTAACGAGGAAAGCATGGCTTAGAATTTCTCTATGTAATGCCTTATGTTAATATATTTGGTTAATCAGTTCAGTGATATGTAAACAATATTGGCATTAGAAACTAAACATCATAACAGGAAAGCTCTTCCTAAAAGCATATGATTCATATTAGATGGGAAACGTCACCATCAACTAAACATTGACAGGGTTTATTTACAGAAATGTACATTAACCTCTTAATAGTAAATAAGAAATTTAAACATACTACGAATACAGTTTTAATCAATAATCTGATTTTATCCAACTGTTATTATGGGTGGACGGAACGTGAGCACGATATGGGAGATCGAGAGGACCATTTAAGTTGCTGCGGAAATGACGACATACAAACTGGAGGAACTGGGAATGTGTGAAACTAATCAGACACACACTGGACAAAAGAAATTAGCTTCAGGAAGGATGCTGTTCTACTTCGGTGACGAAGGAGAAAATGCTAAACACTCAAGCAGTCACACTGATGCTGTCCAAAGAAGAGCAAAACGCAATGACAGCATGGAGGATGCAAGAACTACGAGAGAAGCCGACATAACTTCAAATCATCACTAACATGGCCGTCAGACAAATCAAAAGTGGCAAAGCAGAAGGAGAAAACAACATACTAACTGACTCATTGAAAACAGACTCAGCAGTAGCTGCAAAGATACTACGCAAACCCTTCCACAAAATGTGGGAAGACTAACAAGTACCAGCAGATTTCGAAGAAGGAATCCTGACCAACATACCAAAGAAAGGCGATCTCAGCAAGTGTGAGAACTACAGAGAAATCACTCTACTCCTCATACCAAACAAAGTCTTGACCAGAGTATTGTTGAACTGAATGAAAGATTCAGTAGACACTCATCTGCCAGATCAGCAGGCTGGATTCCTTTAAAGATTGACGACTGTGTACCAACTAATACTCATGAGATACATTGGATCATGGTGGAGTTATATTAACTTCATTGACTGCGAGAAGGCAACTGACATTATGCATAGGAATACATTATAGAAAATTCTTTGACACCACGGTACACCTGAGAAGATAGTCAACATCATACGGAATTCTTATCACAGTATACACTGACAAAACGTATATGAAGAGCAGCTCACAGATTCATTACGAGTGTAGACCGTTGTTAGACAAGGTTGCTTACTCTCAGCCTTGATCAAATTCACGGAGTCCCATACCAGGATGAAACATCGGTTCATGGTTTCAAAAATGTGCAACTTAACAATTTTCACAACCCCATAATGCAAATTACCTGTGCTCACTAGTGACTAGCTTCGTGAGGAATCTTCTCCGAGTTCTAGTGGGAAGATGTGACCAGTGAAGTTCCACCTGTTCGGTTGTAGACAGTAACTACCGAAGACTGTGTATAAGGTTGCGCAACTCCGTGAATTTGATCAAGTTGGACATTAACACCGTTGGATACCGGCTCAGTGGTCTATCGGTTAGGGCGTTCACGCACAATACCGAAGGCCCTGGGTTCGAATCCTGCGGGATGCAGGAGTGGTGGATGCGCACTGCTGAGGAGTCCCATACCAGGACGGAATGGCCGTCCAGTGCTTCCAGGTTTCTAGTGGTGGTCTAACATTGAGCGGTTCATGGTTCCAAAAACGTCCACCTTTTTATCAAATTTTATCTTATTCAAGCATAAGTAATTGCACACTACATTCATTACTTTCGGAAATCGCGCGATTACTGCAATGAATACCGATTCTTGTTACACTGTAAATCAGTTTAGAGAACTAGTCTCTCGAAGAAACACTCATGTTTGTCGTATTACGGTGAGTTTTATTCGTTCGGCATACACAGTCGTATTTATTAGCATTTTCTTCATGCCTTAATATGGTTTCTCAACAAACACTGACTTAAACCACGCTAAGTATCACAACGAAGACGGAATACGACTCAGCGTATTTCGTATCCGCAACCATTATTCTGTTCCTCCGGCCATTCCACCAATACAATTCAACGATAACTCGATGCATCTGGACATAATACTAGCAATTACGTACACAGACTTCGCATTCTATAGTGATTATCAGTTGCAGTATAACGCTGAGTATTATTCGATGCAGTTATCATGCTACGGCTCCATTGTCCTTGTCCTTGCATACGATAATCTATGGCATGCCAATAAAAAATCATTAATCACTAATCCACACCCTAACTCAACTGCGGCTTATTAAAACATGTTCATACTAAACTAGTCTTTATTCGAATATTTTTTGCGCCATATCAATGTTCATTGTTTCAGCTTATCTTCTCAATTTATTCTGTTGTTATACTCATAAACAATGAACAATAAGTTACACGTTATTTTCATGCCAGTGTGTTAATTTATTGTGCAGACTTTCACACCATGAAATCTCTTTTTTTTCAATGTGCTTATTAATTTGTTGATAATCATATGTTACTTGTCTACAAAATTTTGTTGCATGATACTTTTTTCTCCACTAATCACCCCTCATGTATCATTTTACTCTATCCGAAATCGGATACATTTTTTTTCGCTACTTAACCGTATATCTTTTTGTTATTTTCGAAAACTGTCAATTTTACAAATGAATGCACATTTTTCTACCAACGGGCTTTGTAGTGCATTATTTTCATGTCGATTCCACAGGGCCTGTCCAAGGCTACCTGAGTTACTATCCTATTGTCTTTCGACCTTGTCAGCTATTCGCTTTGAGCTTGGTTGTTTCTATTTGAACGGGTATGCCGCTTACATCGCTTATTCTGTCTGAGTATGAATGTTAGGCCATGTCCAATTCCATTGACTTAGCTCGCTCATCTCTAGATCGCTTTGCACTGCTTACAGGCTTTTCATTCTGACGACTGTCTGGAGAAATGAATACCCTAAAGCTTGCCCGAAATAAACTAATCCAACCGAATCCGTATTTGGCTTCTAATTACCGGCATCGCACAAACGGCATTCGCCAAAGGACGATATACGGAAACTGAAGGGGAGATGTATTTCATGATATACTTGAACGTTCTTAAATAAGGGAGTCAGCTCATACGGCAATTAAATGGTGAGCCCAACTTCGAATTCAACGCAGTTACAAAAATTAGTGAGCCCTGACGTCAAATTTAAAGCAGCAACGGACGTTAAACAGTGGTGAAAAACCTTTCAAGAAAATGTTTCTCATCATACTATTTTGTTGAGACCGATACCAAATATGCAGAGTTCATGAGAGAGACGTTTCCTAAACACCTTGACTCTTCAGTAGTACAGATCACCAATTTCTCCAAAACTAAATCACATTGATTGCAGTGATTGACTGACATACAGAAACAAATACACACTTCAAATCTATCAATTTACGCAGTAGGCTAAATCTTGTAGTCAAAACAGAATGAATAAGATTATCAGGTAAACGACTTACTTAAAATGTGTCGACGAACAATAGGTACCCATATAAACTTTACAAGTAGAACAGTGATAATACCTAAGCCACAACTAAGTATAAATACTCCATAAAGAGGTATTTTATCGAATTTCAGCACTGAAAAGAACAACAAAACATATACAGTATGAAAATGTATGTTTCAGATAGAATTAACTGGTAATTTAAATATTTACGTAAATGGCAGTAGATTAGAGTTTGAAATATATACAACACAAATTATAAAGTAATTAATTACATAACATACATAATGATGGATAATTATTTGGAATATCAATATTATTGTCACAGGAACAATTAAATTATTGTAGATAAGGAGATATAGTTATTAAAGTAATTTAAATAGGAAATATATCATTAATCACTATGAAAAATATAGAATATTGATATGAAATAAAGTTAATTGAAATATTAAAATGAATATATTTATACAATGTTTATGTGGCTATAGAATTACGAAAGCCATCACTCAGATGATACAAATGCTTGTTAACAGTAGTCTATGCAAGATACTGAGGATCCGTAGGCCAGACATTATCAGCAACAATCGGGTGGGACAGAGCAAACCAGATTCCAGTGGAGGAAGGAGTCAAGAAACACTGGAAGTTAATAGGACATTCAATGATGAATGCATCCAAATGCTTCATAAAAAAAGCCCTCACTTGGAATCTTCAAGGAAAAGAGTAAGGCCAAAAGACACGTTACGCGAAGAAACGGAGACAGGAATGAGAAGAATGAGCAACAATTGGATAGAACCAGTAAGGATATGCCAGAGTAGGTTGGAGAATGCTAGTCAGCAGCCTATGAAACTCTGAGGGTAACAGGCGTATGTATGTTGGTAAGTTATGTGCATATTAATTTTAATCGAGACTTCATAAATGCGAAAATAACTGTTCACAACATGAGAAATCATCAACAGTTTTATAATTTAAAAACCAGTATTAATCACAACTTCACAATGTGATTTCAAATTCTTGGGATGGAAAAAATTTGTAGCTCAGGTGGATGATTGTGGTGATGTTTTGTTCTCTGAGCTGGATGTTTTGGTTGTGGACTTTTCATTGTTCCTCTGAACAACATAATCAGCACAAACTTCAGATCGAAGTAAAGTATTCTAAATTCTCCACGTTTTTCCTGTAACTTATTCTGTCAACCTCGATCTTGAACGTTTGCTATTGGCCTTAAATCTGTAGTTGTTTGCATCTCCATTTTGATTGTATCCCACTTTGATCTGTTTCTTCATCCTATGTCGCCCATGATTTTTCTGATTGGTTCATAAACTGGGTAAATGTCGAGGTGTTTATTGATTGCTGACTGACCTGAGTTCCAAGCTTCTAAATATTCTCTAGCTATATTTGTGCTTCACCTATTCAGTATTTCTACATTGTTCCTATCTAATGTAGGTCCATTGTTGTTCGTATGTATTGACATAAATGAAGAGAGGTCATGGTGTTTGACTGCTAATTGATGTTCGCGTAAACGAAGCTGAAGAGGACGTCCACTTTGTCCTACGTAATGGTTTTCACAGTCTGAGCAGTTGATTTTGTAAATGATATTTTGGTTTTTCTTCCTTTGCTCTTCTGTCCTTTGGTCAACATAGGATCGATCGAAGTGATTCTGTTGTTTTGTATGTTACACCTATTCCAAATGGTCTCAGTAGTTGTTCTGCAAGTTCTGATAAGTCTTTTGCGTATGGTAGAATGGTCCGTTTATCGATTCCTGCACTTGAACTCGCTCCTGTTGACGATTCCAGGTAATGATTGTTGATGAAAATGTGTGGATAGCCGATCATCCGGAGAATGGTTTTTAAAAATTTTTCTTCGTTTGTTCGTGCTTCAAATGTGCTGCTGCGTCTTCGCTCTCATGAATAAAGTTTGTACGCAGTTGATTTTATGAGCTATTGGGTTACTGCCACTGTAGTTGAGAATTACGTCTGTTTGAGTTTGCTTCCGAAATGCTTGAGTGTCCAGTTTCCTTATGTTGGTTCTGGTGATTAGTATATTCTGTAATGATAGTTCGTCGTTTGATTCCTTTTCCATTGCGAATTTTATGCCATCGAAGACGTTGTTGATCCGATTGTAGATGTTCTCCAACTCTTTCCTTTTAATATTGACGATTGTGTCGGCTAGATAGCGAACCCACATTTTTGGCTTGATGACTGATAAAATCGAACTCGTATTTTAATCAATGATAACTTTTCATTATTCAAATGAATTTTATTGATTGATGGTTTGTCACACGAACAATATCCTCGATGAACAACACATAGAAGAAATCAGTCTTAACTAACAGTGGAGTTGAGAATGCTGGATGTACCTGGATCTCATGACTCGAACCCACTACCGTTTGCATCAAAAGCTGGACCTGTTATCCACTTAGCTACTGAGTTCAGATACATACTCACTTCTGTGGACGATATGATATTTACATAAAAACTCATTCTCATCAGTTTCACAGCTACACAATGCAATACTCCTAACTGAACTAAAACAAACAACCATTTCAAACATCACAATTATGGTAATCATAATAACAATAAAAATTAGGCTAACCAGAACATTCTACACTGATTGATTTGCTAATAAACATTTTGCGTGTATTACAGTCAACATTATCAAATAGTTGAGAAATATATTTATTAATGAAATTTCAGATTTGTACATTATTCTGAATATATACATCTTATGCGTCAACACCACAATCGAATTGTATGCATAGACATCAATACTTAAATACACACTTTAAACCAATCTACAATTGAAATGAAAATGTTAATTTTAAATCAAATATACAGAAAGCTATCATCAAACAAGTTCTATAATGAAATCTGCCAAAATCACTGACAATTTACAACTAACATACTTGGAGGTCCTTCATAAAATATTGAAAAACTATTGACCAGTACTACTGTACCGAAAAAGCCTGGAATCAGTCGAAGTGCAGGTTCCAGAGAATCTTCCTGTTAAAAAAATCAATAAGTAGATAATCTTCAATATTCATAAATACTTAATTTTAGAGATAACAGAACAGATGTATATTGTTGGGAAAGATCGATTCCCAGAGCTCAATTGGAAAAGGTCCTAATTTTGAATTTATTTTTTCGCGCATAAGCTGCTTAGTTGACCCTGAGATAACATTTCCCACTTGGAAAATCCTCGACTGTCACTGGTTGATGTATTACTTTAGTAGGCTATTTCCATGGCTCTCCCGCGGACTTTTCTATCATGTATAAATATGCTCGCTTTGTGTGCTTGTCAACCTCATATTTTCTAGGTACTTGTAGAATACACTTTCTACATCTTAGTCTGGCCGGGGACGAACGGATTAGGATAGCCTAACATGTCACTGCTTCATTTATCTGCGCTCCGTTTACCGAGTAAGGTGAACTCGTAATAGTTTCAAGCATATCACCATACGTATATAGTTTCATAGCATTCTCTTACAATAGTAAGTTTATTATAATTCAATAAACAAATTACAAACAAAATGTCCATTTAGAATAATTACGAGAATAGTGAAATAATAAATTGATTGCCATTGAGAATGAATACACTTTTCAGTTGATAAAACAATTAATTAAAATTAAGATTTCTTTATTTATTGAAGCATTCAGAATGGATGAAAATAGAAACATATATTTATAATTGAGATGATTACTTGCGGTCATCGAAAATGATTTTATTTAAAATCAGTAGTAACTTTTTTGGTATGAATAAATAAAGTTAGACATTAACACCGTTGGATGCCTGCTCAGTGGTCTAGAATTTAAGCATTCGCGTGCGAGACCGAAGGTACTGCGTTCTATCCCAGCTCGCAGGGATCATGCATGGGCGCTGCTGACCAGTCCCACACTACGATGAAACGGCCGTCCAATGCAGTCAGATTTCTGATAGTGATCTAAGAATGATCGGTCAATATTAATGAAACTCAACAATCTTTACAACTCTAAAATGAAGATCGTAAACGCTTTTTCTCATTTATGAAGTATGACTCGGAATGCATAATAATCGAGAGATCTGTTTAGAAAAGTTATCTTCAATTATTTGAAACAACCTGAGAAGAAGCCTTTAATAAATCGAATAGTGTTGGACGGATGATGAAATCACAACAATCTTATATACGAGCCAATATTCGGTGATTTGGAACTACAATGTAGTGAATAATCAGCTCCATCTTCATTATGTGATTTTAACTGGTTTATGGTATTTTTTTCTATTGATAAACTTGCATTTAAAACATTAACAGTCGATAGATGTTTTACCAGTCCTAAATTATTGTTAATTAATAGCTGACTAAATACGCAGCTTTGCATCACTTTTGATTTCGTTATTTACATTCTATGGTTTTTTATCTGTGGTGTGTGGTGGCCTGGAAATCAGTGCATAGACTATGAACATTTATTTTATAGAGACTGGTTGTTCGGGTTGAAATATTCGACTTCTGATTGGTTTTGAGTATGTGGTAAGTTCTGTCTTTGACCAATAATAATAAAGGTCTTCGTTATCATTGCTCACGCTCACTCGTTGTTGATAGGGTCGTGTTATTGGTTAAGTGAAGGTCAGGATAGGCATAGAGCGTACGCTGAACTAGTGGATCATATCTCGGCAATTGATTAAGGGCATGTACGAGCATTAAAAGTTATATAAGAATAGCATTTGCCTGACAATTAATTCACCTTTATATTAAAATTAGTTCAGCATCATAAATACCAATGATTTATAAAGCCGAACATCTTTTATCAGTTTACATGTATGTTACTTAGTCAAATCAGAGAGACAACTACTCACAAAACTTTATGAACTGTTCCCAAAGAATCTTTATCAAGATAATTAATCACCAGTATTGTTTCACTTGAGTATTGTGCCTGATATGGATGGGATACAAGGTAGACAGCAAAAGTATTTTTATTTAAATCAGTAAACAGTAGTATGAATGTGAATCACTCGTGTTAACAGAGGCCAACAATCGACTTTACATTCTGAAAAAAAATAACGATTATGGATTATTAATCTTGATTAAACGTGTAAACATAATGATTTACTTTTCTACTTTTCAAACTATTCTATTATGAGAAATCGATACTGCATTATTATAAAATATTCCTCTTAATGCAGGATTTTGACCTTAAATGCCTTTAGAGCATTGTTTAACGGCCACGGAATAACTGAGTGATGTTCGGGTTAAGCATAAATGTACTCAGCAAATATGGCAAATCGGCTAACATGGTTATGAGCATTCATCAACCGAGGTGGTTAGTATATATGATACGTATGCAAAACCAGCGCCCATCTTGACGAGTGATGCTTGCTGGTGTAAAAATTGGGGTTGACATAAAGCTAGGAACGCCCAAACCACATCAGGTCAGTTCATGTAGTCGTTGAGTACGGCCAAGCATTAACCAGTATGTTCGTAACTGGACACAAATATGCATTAAATGCGAAAAAAATAAAGTTCATCGTCACACAGGTTCCGCGGTAGGTCCCCTCCGTTACCCTGACAGTAGATTTGAGCATAAACATATCGATATTTTGGGACCACTGTGCATTTCAAATAGCTTCAGTTATTCCTTTACCGGTATCGACATATTAACACGATGGCCTTTAGCTGTCCCCATAAAAGATATTTCAGCAGAGACAATAGCCAAAACCCTAGTAGTGCATTGGATCTCATATTATGGAGTGCCTGCAAATAGTACAACTGAAAGAGGGGCTCAATTAGAAAGTCACCTCATGCAACAGTACAAAGAACTCGTCGGAATCAAACGCAGACGCACAACATCCTAATATCCAATGGTGAATGGTTATGGTAGAGGGATTACGCTAGAAACTTAAAGCCTCAACAACAAGGATTGGGTCAACAAACTTTCATTAGTTATGCTGAATTTAAGATCGACAATAAAATAAGATATACGATGTTGGCCGGTAGAGTTGTTTTATTGAACTATTTTAAGGTTACGAGAAGCGTTTCTCACCTCAGGTAAATTTTTTCCTACTGACATAACCAACTAAATTCAACGTCTAAGAGAACACATGAGTGATCCAAGAATAACGCTTCTGAGGAAAAATCAACATCGGATATACATTCCGAAGCAACTGAGCGACAGTACCCATGTATTTTGCAGAAGAGGTAATATGTAATGTCTCTTACAAGCAACAAAAGATGGTCCATTTAAAGTGATTAGAAGAAATGATAAAACTATTAAGGTGGATAAAGCTGGAAAAATGGATGTAATCAGCATTGACTGAGTCAAACCAGATTTAATCGAAAGTGACGGTCAGCTAATAGGCACAAATCCTTCGAAAACTATCGAACCACTAAAGCACAAGCTCCAGCCATCAGCAAAAATAACGAAGAAAAACTAAGAGAGTTCATTAACGACAAGATACGGTCGAAGAGTCAGATACCAACAACGATATATACCTACGATTTTGCACTAATAATTTCTTTAGACGCTTCGAATATAAGAATTTTTTGCTAAGTTTCGTATGTGCATATCGAAAATATTAGCAGATCTACTATTAAAGTAGATAGATTTTGTGTATCCTGATGTCAAGGTGTATAACATTAAAACATAACCGAATTCAAATTTAAAACAGTTAGTCCCTTTTATAAATTTTGACAGAACAGTGAGAAGACGTAATTGATCTGAACAAAGTGATGTGTTTGCGCGATACACTTCGAACAATCTGGTCATATATACTTACTTGTCAAGGCACTTAAATGAAGATTAATAAAAGGTCAGTTAAATAAATGTCCAAATAGACAAAAGGTGATAATTTAAATAAAGGAGAGAGAAAATTAGCGTAATATGAAGAGAATAAGAAAGAGTAGGAAATTGTCACTTTGCCCTATGCCTAAAGATTACCAAGGTAAATTCAAGGTTATAACAAATTGTTTCTGTACACATAAGGGGGATTTCAGTTTACGAACAGCTAAAGCCTCCATAAACCTCAAAATTCGTCCTTCAACATTTCTATACTATGTGTCTGAAGGTTGGTTGTCTGGATGTCAATCTTATGCCCTGTCTCAATTGTGTTTTGCGATCGATGAACATGATTTTCTATTTTCCACGTTTATCGGCTCATCTGACGTTAACTGGGTTTGAAGCCACTTAGGTACATGTTCTATAACCCTTGATTTCAAAGTCCGATTTCTTCTCCCTATGTATGTGTATCCACACAAGCATGTAAATTGATAAATGCAGCGGGATGTGGTGTAATAATTGGAGCAATATTTAGGTCTATGTGGAATCATGGGTCTAGTCTTTTCTATTACAATCAATTTAGCAGCGTAGTATGTTTTATCTATGGCTGCTTTTAGCTGCTGTCTCAAGATTAAACCATTTGATTAACCTCTAACTGGTTAAGTGATATAAAGCTTTTTCTTCTCAGCAGAATGAAAAACAGGCCTTTGTCTTAACTGATTTCTACACCAATTGATGAACTTTAGCGGATAGCCGTTTGAAATTAATGCTTCAGTTAGGAATTTCGCATCGTCTTCAAATGTATCTGTGGTGCAAATACTTTGTGAACTATTGAAGAGGCATTTCACCAAACCTCGCTTGTGTTGTAGTGGATAAAAACTGCTGAAATTTAAGAACTGCCTAGTCCGGGTTGGTTTTCTATAAACAGAACGCTTTATAGTTCCATTCTCCCTTCAACTCAACAGTATTGTGGTGCGCGCTACTTATAAGTAGTATATGACGCGAGTGAAAACGTAATGTCTGGCAGCAGAAGATGGGGGAAGATCAAGAAAGGAAGAGTGGGAACACAATGGAATTTGTATGAAACGCATGTTTAGTGAAATGTCAGACAATGGATTGATGATGGATTGAAGATTTGCAAATTAACCGTTTACGATATGGTTTTCCTATTTTACTGAGTAACTGTAATTTTCGCTTAATACAATTCGGTTGCCCTCGCATGTGCTCTCCTTCACTACAGTATGTCTAAAAAGGGCTGTTGGTTATTATTTTCTGTTTCGTGGGTTAGGACAATGTTGTTCTGAAGACTATTGAAGTCATTGACTAACCGAGAGACATTGAGTTCTTTATCAAAAATAACTAAAATATCTATATATCTCCTATACAGAGTAAGCTTATTGATGGGCCCATTCCACAAATTTTCAACATATACCATATAAACATCAGCTAAGAGAGGTCCCAAAGGACTACTGTCGGTGACTTCATGGATTCGTTCTATGTTTTGGTTTGGCCGTCCCTAGCTTTGTTCCAGCCTAATCCTTCACTTCAATACAGTGCACACTGACGCAGTCGATGGTTGGGTATTCATTACACATCAAAACCGCCTGAACTGATGAAGATTCATTAAGTCATCAACTGATTTGCCATCCTTACATAGTACTCAATCCCTAACAACATAATTGCCTACTCGGCTGTCCCAGGATATACGAGCAATGCTTCGAAGACACCTATGATCGAATACTGTTTAGCTACTGACTAACTTTTGCTTGATACCCTCAAGAGAGCATAGGCTGCCGACTAGCATTCTCCAACCTACTCTGGCATATCCTTATTGGTTCTATCCAATTGTTGCTCATTCTTCTCATTCCTGTCTCCATTTCTCCGCGTAACGTGCTTTTTGGCTTTACTCTTTTCCTTGAAGATTCCAAGTGAGGGCTTGTTGTATGAGGCATTTGGATGCATTCCTCAATGAATGTCCAATTCACTTCCATTGCTTCTTGACTCCTTCCTCCACTGGAATCTGGTATGTTTTGTTCCACTCGGTTGCTGCTGATAATGTTTGGCCTACGGATCCTCAGTATCTTGCATAGACAACTGTTAACAAACGCTTGTATCTTTTGGATGATGTCTTTCGTAGTTCTCCAAGTTTCGATCCATAAAGTAGAACTGTAATGACATTTGCATTGAAAGTTCTGACTTTAGTGTTGGTTAATAGCTGTTTTGCGTTGCAGATGTTTGTCCGTTATATGAATGCTACCCTTACATTGCTCCGTTTGTTCACATCGGCATTAGACCAACGTTGCTCATCAGTGAGGCTGCCAAAAAATTGTAAACATTTGTACAACCTCTATGGCATCTCCATCAATAGTGATTTGGTTGGTGCATGTTGTGTGGTGTCGGAGAATCTTGCTTTTCACTTTATGTATGTTGAGACCTACTGCTGCTGAGGCTGCTGCTAGTGATCGTCTTCTCATACATTTGTTTCCGCGTGTGCTGTAGAAGAACCAGATCATCTGAGAATTCTCGATCTTCCAGCTGCGTCCTAGTTGTCCACTGTATCCCGTGTTTCCCTCCAAATGTTGACGTCTTCATAATCCAATCGATCACCAGGAGGAAGCGAAGGGGTAAGTGTAAGCAACCTTGCCTGACACTGGTCTTCACCTCGAACAAGTTTTTCAGCCGTCCTCCATGCACGATTTTGTAGTTTAATCCATACTAATAATTCTGTAAGATGTTGACCATCGTTTTACGCACGCTATAGTGTCGAAGAAGCCTCCGTAGTAATGTCCTGTCAAAACTATCAAATGCTTTCCCGTAGTCGATGAAGTTGATGTAGAGTGGTGAATTCCATTCCATGAATCATCTCTATTCAAACTGATCACGTTTCACAGTCGTAAAGGAGGACAAAGAGAATCGATGCGCAATAAATTCGTCCTTTGGTTGGTAGACGGACTGCACGATTCAAACTGAGGTTTGGACTGAGGAATAACTGTCTAGGTAGTTTAGATACGTGCCTTGCCCAGTTGAAACCAAAATAAGTGATTCGGGTAAATGACGGTTCTAATATTCATCATAAATATAAATGTACATCATTACCTACTTATGCGAACGATATAAGTAGTATAAGAAGGGACGTAAAAGAAGAAGTCTCACGGTCACAAGAAGAAAACGGAAAGCAAATGGAGCAAAAGCAAGAAATAAATAGAGTAGCAACAGGAAGTAAAGTAAGCAACAGCAGGAATGGAAGAAGGATGGAGCGTTGGAAGTCACGACTCAAAGATGGTGTGCAAATAGAGTGTTCAATGTAATGTCGTCGTTTTCAATTGACCAAGAGTGTAAATTTGCATAATACGATCTTTAGCGCCTGCCTCATTCTTCTCAATTCCTCCAATAATTGTTCAATTAATCAGATCAACAGGAACAAATAAATGTTAATCTACCCTTTCTGGATAGATCAGATTCCTTCAAAAGATAATATTTGGTCGCTTTCTAATACAGAGAGTTTCTTATTCTGGAAGGGTGTTTCAATTCATAATCAAAATGAACAACTCCAGTTAAGGCGAGCGACACAATCAAAAGAGGAACAAATCAATAGGGCTGAGTCATGACAAAGTATCAGCTTAAACAACATAAATCCAGTTCAGAAAGAAACTCAGTAAATGCAGAAGAAATAGAAACTATAATAAAATACAAATATAATCATCTGAAATGGAATCGAACAGACTACCAAGATGTACAACCGAAGGAACCAATAAGGACATATTACAAATGTATACATGGAGGGATTTTCACAAACAAGGCCTTCAAAAAATGGATCTTACACAGATATCTCGTCTACACCATGAATGACGCAAGTCGGCAAAAGCCAATCGAGCCTTCTGTATCCGTGCTTAGATTTCATCACAGACTAGGTCATCAGAACTGATGAGACTCCCTAAATAAGAGTAAAGATCGACACAATCAACTGATTCACTCAAGATCACCAGTTTTAGTTCAGACGCAAGTCAATCCTGAAGCAAGATTTTGCATTTCGAGGGGAAGAATTGCATCCGAATAGAGAATGACCACATTTGTGTAATTAGCAATAAAAAGCAAATATTTATTAGCATGAATAACAAAACTAGTTTCAATCTTTTGGAAAATACCTGTAAGTGTATATTAATGGGCATCAAAATTCGAAAACTTATTTCAAAAGTATCTTAACCAATTTCTTAATGATAAGAGCTTATGAGATCAGATACAATGGAGTTAAATAGTTAAAAACTTACTTTACTGAGCACCAGAACACGCATTAGGAAAAATACTCCGGTAGATGCCAAACCACTTAGAACAGGTGAGAGAAACCATGATCCAACTAAATGAACATGAATAAAACAGAATAACAATAAATGAATAAACGTTGTTTATAATAAAAGAAATGATGATTACAAGTGATGTTGGCTTAATAATATATAAAATGTGACATGATGATTGTTGAGCAAACAATTGGTTCATGAAGGATAATAGAAAGTCAACAAAACATCTCAAAGGCTTAATATCAAGTAGTCAGCTACAACGTAGAAATGGCGAGATAAGAAAAGCGGTAGACACGCTCAACTACTTCACTCCGTATTACGAGTTCAGGTGCGGTTGCAAGCCTATCTTGAAGCAACATTTTGCTTTTCGAGGATTAAAACAGCATACCGGACATGCTTGCATTGTTGCTTAGGTTAGTCAAAAGACTGCATCTTGTCAGGGTCTTCACCAAGTAGTGTTATGTCATCAACATATTCTAAGTCAACAAATAAATTTAGCGGTAAACGTTCAACACTTGAAAAGTCAGATGATGCAAGTGTCGTATCTAAAAGCCCGTCAATGACGAGGTCAATTAGGGATGGAGAAAGTGGACAGCCCTGACGAACACTGCATGAAGTAATCAATTCGGATGATAGTTCACCATAAGCTCTAACTCGACAGTAGTGCTTCAGTAGAGAGGTTGTATAAGGTTATTATTCCTCTTTGGTACTCCTTAGAATGAAATAGATATAATTCATTTGTTAATTATTAATTTTCGTTTTTGTTAGGATATTCATGCAATATCCTAAGAGAATTATTGGTCAAATCCTATTGGTCAAAATTATGGCCCTTTTAACTGTCAAAGTCAAATACTTCAATTTTGTCCCTGATTGGTTTTCCTGAATATCAATGTCACGTCAAATGTTACTTCCTATTGGTCGTCTTAACTTTCAATGCCACAGAATTCGATGCTGTTTCCTAGTCAACCAATATGTATAAATACGCATTATCTGTGACATTTTATGACCACGACCAGTACCAGGGCTCGGTCCCGGATCCGTAGTCCAGGATCCTGATTCTCTTCTGGATTCGAACCTCGTACTTTCTGGATGCTTGTAGAATACAAGTTCTATTTCATATCAAGTCTCCTTATTGTTACTCGTTATGGGGGGGGGCCTGGGATAATTGGATTTGAGTAGTATGTCGTGTCACCGGATCCTCGATCCTCGCTCTCGTTTTCCGACTAGGTAAACACGTAATAGTTCAAATATATCAAGTTGACGTGTTTACTTGCAGGTGTAGCAATTTTGTTTTATGTCATCTATATTAAAAAACTTAATTTGTAATATTATTTATGTAAACTATGATGAAGTTAAGTTTTATGGCTTGCGTATAAACATTATGTATTAGGTGAAATTTATATTTGTTGAAGTCTTTGAGAATATAATTCAGTAATTAAAACTATTCACTTAATCGTTTGATTTGAGGGTATGAAATAAAAGAAAAAATCAACAATCAATCATTGTTAGACCACCATTAGAAACCTGGAAGCACTGGACGGCCGTTTCGTCCTGGTATGGGACTCATCAGCAGTGCGCAACCACGACTCCTGCTCCTCGCAGGATTCGAACCCGGGACCTTTGGCACCGTTGGATGCCGGCCCAGTGGTCCGATGGTAAGGCGTTCGACTACAATGCCAAAGGCCCCGGGCTCGAATCCTACGAGGAGCAGGAGTCGGGGATGCGCACTGGTGATGAGTCCCATACCAGGACGAAACGGCCGTCCAGTGCTTCCAGGTTTTTAATGTTGGTCTAACAATGATTGATTGATGATTTCAGATGTGTAAAAACGCAAACCTCCCAAACTGTGCCCGAAAAAAGAAAAAATATTGGAGTGAACACGAAGAGAATAACCCGATAGGCAGGGATATTGATTCAAGATAAGAAACGTTATTTTCGAAACATCAAAATATAGAACAAATCAACAATAATAATAATAATCCTGAAAACAGCAAACATTTAATGTGAAATACAGTGGAATTTGAAGATTTGCAAATTTTATTTTTTCAATGAGTTTGAACAACTCGATCAAAAAAAAATACATGACAAGAATAGATGGACTAGTAAAACAACTGGTCAGAAATGATGAGATCTTTACCACCTGAATCAGATGCTCATATGAAATATGTTTTGACACTATAGTGGCTCGAGATGACTTGGATCCGGATTGACGAACAAATAGGACATGCAAATAAAAAAATTTGAAAACAAATCTTTCTGTATATTACACTTAGGCTGCTAACCCAAATTGTACGATGGTGGTGATGAAAAATCAAAAACGGATTCAGTTGGATGAGTTTATTGCATGCAAGTGTTCATGCAAACAGACATTAACAATGCGAAGCAGGAAAATGAGGCGAAAACAGGCGGGTCAATAGTAGAAACAGCACAGTGAACACAGGGAGTCGTTGTTGAGTTGAGCGATGAAACACGCTAATTAATTCAGATTACCTAACATAGAAAACCATACCTATTCCGCTGACATAGGTAAGATGAAACCAGAAACAAGCGGCTTGACTGTATACCTGTACAAAATGGTCATCTAATGCAGTTGTATTTCTGATGGTTACCTGACTTAGATCGGTTCGTCAATTTAAAGAATCTCAACTATTTTCACAACCCCACACTGGCAAAAACTAAATATTGTCACTTTATGATCCGAATGTAGTTGCAAAAATGACAATTAAAAATGTAAACAATGTTTTCTACTTCACAATGTAATTTTCACGACTTCATTATTATGGAAACACTATTTGATTAAAAACCTCTGCTAGATTTTACCACAGTTTCTACCTCCTATTTGGCTTTTCAAAATCTTATGCATAATCTTATATTGCAGCATAAGAATACAATAAAATGGAACTTATTGTAGTGGTGCTTCGTTCTCTGAACTGGATGTTTTGGTTGTGGAGCTTTCATCGTTCTTATGAACAACATCATCAGCACAAACTTCATATCGAAGTAAAGTATTCAAATTTCTCCACGGTTGACCTGTAGCCTACTGTGTAAATCTCTACATTGATTGCTTGTAGTTGACCTTAAATCTGTCGTTGTTTGCACCTTTGTTTTGATTGTATCCCCCTATGATCTGTTTCTTGATCTTATGTCGTCCATGACTTTCCTGATTGGTTCATAAATTGGGTCAATGTCGATGTGTTTGCTGATTGCTGATTGACCTGAGTGCCAAGTTTCTAAATATTCTTAGCTTTCTTTGTGTTTCTCCTATCCATTATTTCAACATTGTTCCAATCGAATGTCTGTACTGATATAAGGGAAAAATTGTCAAGACGTTTGACTGTTAATTGATGTTCACGTAAACGAAATTGAAGAGGACATCCACTTTGTACTATGTAGTGGTTTTCACAGTTTGAGCAGTTGATTTTGTAAAAGATATTTTGGTTTTTCTTCCTTTGCCCTTTTGTCCTTTGGTCAACATCAGTCAGTTGCAACGTAGAACTTCGTACGTATGTACATAAGTTCATGTTGCCATACCACATTATTAGCACAGAGACGCAAACGTCAAATCAAATCCCATAGGATTGATTGAAGTGATTCTGTTAGTTTGTGTGATACAACTATTCCAAATGGTCTCAGCAGTCGTGGTGTAAGTCGCGATATGTCTTTTACGTATGGTAGGATGGTCCGTTTATTGGTTCCTACACTTTAAATCGCTCCTGTTGACAATTCCAGGTGATGTTTTTTGCTGAAGTTGTGTGGATAGCCATTATTTCGGATGATGGTCATTAAATCTTTTTCCTTTACTTTTTTGTGCTTTAAGTGTGTTGATGTGTGTCTTCGCTCTCATGAATAAAGTTTGTATGCAGTTTATTTTGTGAGTTCCTGTGTTATTTCTGCTATAGTTGAGAATTAGATTTGTGTGGGCTGGCTTCCGACATACTTGAATGTCAAGTTTCCTTATGTCAGTTCTGGTGATAAGTACATCTGTGAATGATAGTTCGCCGTCTGATTCTTTTTCCATTGTTGATCCGATTTCGGGTGTGTAGTGGAACGCTTCTACGAAGAAAATACGATTTGTGAAAAATAAACATTATCGTACTCGTTTTGTTTAACTGTACCAGAAACACTTCTACTACTTCTTACGCGCAACGTCCTCTTCGCGTTGCTGCCATCTTTATCTATTTGCTGCTCCCCATGTAATGCCAAAGTTCTCCTTCAATAAACAACTCAACCATGGATTTATTTTGTTTTGCTATGAATTACGGCAGGATATTATGGAACATTTAGTGGTGAGCATAGTCAGTCTGGTATCTGGATTAGCTCACAACAGGTGTTCGCTAACTCTTTCTTCTTAATAATGTATGAACTACATATTTTCTCCAACACCTCAATAGAATTTATTAAACACTCTTCAGTTCTCTGTTGAAGCTTAGATTGCACACAGTACATCATTTAGATAATCGGGTCTAGTTGTCCAGACCCTAACAACTATCTATATATTAAAAGAGAACTAGTTTTACTAATAGCTACCATAAGAAGAACATTTTTATTCATAAAACTACTACACAGAGCATTGTTACTTAAAAATTTAAAGCACAAGGAGAGGAATAACTTTCGTTCATAAAAATAATTTATAGTAGTAATAAATTTAACAAATGAAAATTTACACTGTCAACATTTTCTAAGTGAGTCAAACTACAAAATTATAGATTAGTGTCAAATTTTAATCATTCATATAGTGTTGAGATCCTCACTATGAATATGTATGTCTACTGCAGTATCAAAGGTGACAGCAATACCACTAATTAGTTTATTCCGGTTAAATTATCAAAAGAATATATTGGGACAAGTAATTATTCAGTTCATTATTTCGAGATTTTTAAAATTCTTACCAATTTTAAGCATTCCTTTCCATTGAATAGCATTGAGTCCAAAAATAACAAGACTAAAACCCATTGTTGCACCAACAATGCTATGTGTGCCAGAGACTGGAAGACGGAAGAATGTAGCGACCAATAGCCATATGCAAGAACCTAAAGGTAAATCAAATTAAACAAGAAATTCTAGCGCAATTCTGCTTGAATCAGTGAGTATCCTCTTAAAATGTATCAATGTATGCATAAAATAAATTATTAATAACACTACTATTTTTATCATTATTATTATTATCTTATCAATTTTTTTAGATCATGTGTAACTGTGAAAACCAATGATCAAATATAAGTGATTATTTTCCGAAATGCAGAAAAATATTTATTATACAATGAAAACTCTCTGTGTTCATAGACTTACCGCCAAGAGCAGCCACCTGTCCAGCCATCAAGATAACATGTCCGCTGTCAATAGTCTGAAAACGTTCGACACTAACAATACCTTTGCGTAAGGTACTGGAAACTTTAGCACCTAAAAAATTACGCACATGTTTCTATAACCAAGTTAAATTTACCTAAAAGAACAGAGCCACTTAATTCACAGATTGTAGCAAGAATACAAGCTTGTTTTAGTGTTAACACTTTGGCTCCAACACTAGTTCCGAAAGAATTCGCCACATCATTTGCACCAATTCCAAAAGCAAGAACAAATGCTATTATGAAACCGACAACGACCATCCATATTTGGTCTTCAGGGATAAACATGGTTTGTCGGGACCAAGGACTCCAAGATGTGATCTCGATATCACACACTCAAGCAAATATCTGGGTTAAAAATTAGAAATCAGATGTACTATAGATCTCTTATGATAAACAAAAGTGTACAGAATAACATCAAAGATACGTGTGTATTTGATTGTCCTAAACGAGGTTATATCTTACATAATCTATAAAGAAGAATGTCAGAGTTGACAATTCAAAAACTCCTTGTAGAAAACTGTACATGACTGGCCTCAAGCAGTTACGTTCGAACTCTGTGATCACGCTTCTAAGTCACTTAGTTCATCACAAATGCAGCTTTTCATTCAGGTCCCTCAAGAAGAAATAATGTCCCATAGTGTGGTAGTCGAGAGGTGACAACTGACCTGATACCGCACACAGCACACAATCGTGTCATTGAAAGGTATACCAAAGAAGTACATTGATCTTGTACAGGCTCTGCTCGAACACGACTGGTCGAGTCAGAGGTTATTAAGAACTGTCATCAACATTGATTTCTTCAAGTGGTGTTAGTTGAGGATTTTCCGCTATCTCCATTCTTATTTAGCTTCACCATTCAGATACTTTCAGAATTAACATCTTAGTACTCTGACTTTTCAGGAGTTGACCTCCTACCAAAAGATTTCCTTGTTGACTTAGTATGCACAAATGACATTATTCTGTTTGATGTATGCACTGACAAGAGGTAGTTTCCTGACCACCTTAAGCAACAATGATAGCTTGTTTGGGATGCGATTCCCTCCCTCGAGATGCGAAATATTTCTTCAAGATTGGCTTGCATCTGTGACTGAATGATCGATAAGGAGTGAAGTGGTTCAGCTTATTGACCACTTCACTTACCTTGGGAGTCTCATCAGTCCTCATAACCTTGTGTCTGACAAAATCTTGACACGGATACAAAAAACTCGGCTGGCTTTTGTCAACTTGCATCACTTATGGAGCAGGTGAGATATCTGTCCACTAACCAAAAGATGAGTGCAATGTGCAGCAGTTTACTTTATTCTACTATATGAGCATGAAGCATGGTCATTAGGAATAAGAGCTCATGAAGAGCAGACTAGAGAAAACCAGGCTGGTTTCAGACCTGGATGTGGATGTATAGACCACACGTTCAGACTTCCCACAATAGTAGTATTTCTCGACCTTAAAACGGCATTTGAGTCTGTGGATCGTGAGGTTGACGAAATCTCAATACGGATGCACAAACCTCGACTGGCTTTACCAACTTATGGAGAAGGCAAGATATACGTTTGCTAACCAAAGGACGAATGTACTGCACAGCAATTTACTCGGTCCTACTATACTGGTGTGAAAGCGAGGATATTCGTAGGCTATTAGTATCCGATCATGGGTGTCTTCAAAGCACTACTCGTATATCCTGGGACAACGGAGTAGGCATTGCTGTTGTTAGGAAACGAGTACTAGGCAAGAATGGCGGATGAATTGATGAAGTAGTGAAACATCATCAGTTGAGGTGGTTGGGAAGAATGTTTCGTATGCCTAACCACCGATCGCCTCGACGAGCAATGTTTTGTGCTGTTGGAGTAGGTTGGAAGAAAGTAAGGGGCGGCCAATCTAAAACATGGCAGAAATCTATGAAGTCTGAGTCATGTTGTTAGACGTAGGCTACCTGGTTGGGATCCGCGAGACGAAAGTCACCGATGGTTAGAGACCTTGAACGAAATGGCTCAAAATCGTTTGCAGTGGCGCAAGTGCATCCATTCGTTCTGCTCTCTCAAATCCTATTCTTCAGAATTCCTCATCACCTCTATCTTTCTCTTTCTAAATTCATTTCACTGGGTTGTACTTCTTGAATAATTTCTTCGAACCCTAATCTTCTCCATTACTGTTAATACTTCTACTATCGCCATCGCTCTTGGATTTGAACTGACAGTTGCGTCTGTGCTAATGTGGTATGGCAACGAAGTTCTACGTTGTAAGTGACTGACTGATTCAGAATAAAGGATATTCGTAGGTTACTAGTATTCGGTCATACGTTTCTTTAAAGCATCGAATGATGAAGTAGTGAATCTTCATCAACTAAGATGGTTAGGAGAAGTATTACGTATGCCCAATCACTGCCTGACTGGAGCATTGTTTTCAGGTGTAGGAGTACACAGGAAAAAAGTCATGGGAGGCCGAATTAAAACATGATTCCAGTCTGTCAAGTCAATAATAACTGTACTGGGTCAGGTTAATAGGTCTATGTCCGTGTGATAATCATAAGCGGTGGCTAAGATTCATTGGCAATGGGACGCATGTATCCATTTTTTCTTCGCTCTAATTCTATGCTTCTCAATCCGCTACAAATTTTTGTTTATTTATTTCATTGCTTTACATTTTCTTGGATCTTATCTTCTGTTCCTAACCTTTCAGTTCTTAAGTCTAATACTCTAATATTTGGCCTGACAAGTTTATCTCACTATATTTATGGGGTACAGAAACGCGTACTAATGTACGCACGTATCAGGTTCTACGTTACAACTGAATGATTTACAACTACCACCCACATAGTCCCAGGTCTCACTATTTAGATGTTTAAAGTCTGGTTAAATAATCATGTGAGCAATAAACTCTAGGTCGAAAGTGAATTCTAGTTTGCTTTTATGATTACCAGATTCCTTTAGATTAGGTTACGTACAAGACATATTCGTTATCCTGAAAATGAGTCAACACATAGTCACTCACTGGTTGCTTAAACGTTTTGATGACAACAAATTTACAGAAAGAACTGAAAACAGAGCGAAAGAAGGAACCTGGAAAACACAAGCATACAGAAATCTAAAGTGCACTGACTAGACATTAAAATCTGCATAAGTAACAACACAACAGCAAACACAACTAGTTATGTTCAGAGGCCTTACAGCAGACAAAAAAACTGCTACAGTATCTCACGATACTTCACATCATTCCATTCCATACAGATGAGAAGTGGAGTTGCATATACAAAATAACATGTACCAACCACGAGACTTACTAGACAAAATGGACGTCTTCTTCACTTAAACATGAGTGAATGCAAATTAGTAGCAGGGAAATGATACGTTGACACCGACAACGATAGGGTATTTCCGAGGATGTGTAATTCGGATCGTCCATGAATCAACAACCCTATTGATGTTTATCAAGTATACGAACATATGTGATAGAGGTCAATCTATCACATGGTGAAAGGCCAACTAATAAAGCCAGCCAATGTGAGTACAATGAAAAACGAACACAACAAAACGTACTAAGACAGTAGAGCACAAACAATGCCATACGAACGAACAGATGTATTATTAATGGAATGATCACTGTTACATGGATAAAAAAAATCCTTCAAATAAACAAAACTTTGTATTTTTGTGAGTTACGCCGATATTTGTTTGCAGATCATGCATCACAAAGTTATTTTAGGTTAGTGGAATAACGAAAATTTTATAATGATGATATGATCACGATAGTGAATATGTATGAATAATTGAAATTTTTGAAAAATGTCTTTAAAGATTCTGAATAATAGTCACTAAAGAGGCTAACTTACAAAAATGAAGTGAATGCAAAATAACATGTGAAACAAACAACGCGCAAACGGTTAATAGCAAGACTAAAATAAAATGACCGGTAATAACAAGTCTGAAGGTGAACAATATCATACACTGATATCCAATCCAGTAACTTTTTTACAAGCTACTACAAGCCAACTGATTTCTTAGAGGTCGATTCCTGTGTACTGTTGATACGGTTCCTGGTGGTATCCGATGGATGTGATCTAGCTAGTCGATTGCCCTCATTCTAGTCGGCTAGCAGTTGTCTGTGAGTTTGTATGTCCCATCACTTGAATGAATAAGTTTTTTTGGATACCAGTAGAAGACTTGAGAACCAGGAAAATAAATGGATAATTTAGTTTGTTTATTGGTGAATGACCGGGGGAAAATAAACTGGGATAGCTTGCGAGATAAATCAGGTTAGTGATCTTAGGAGATGGCGATGATAACAACTAACAGGTCCTACGCCATGCATCAGGCAACGCTGGTTCACGAGGGATATGGTATTCGGTATGTGAGTACGTGTTTATCAAGTCTCTTTTCAAGGCCATCCACTAATGTGGCTGTGGTCACCTTGGCTGGGAGAGCATTTCAAGTTGCAACAACTCCTAGTGCGCACAACCTTAAGTGATTTCTCTTTGACGCACGATTTTTCGACGATCCCCTCTAAGGGGGTGGTGGTGATGCTTCGATAAGATTCTTTAGTTGGATGATATGGCGTGCTTAATATTTTCTACGCCATTATCAGATCACCTCCTGTAAATCTAAGAGAATAACCCAAATGGCTGGAGAATATCTTCGTAAGGTTTAATCTTCAAAACTATCACCCATTTCGTTTCTCGTCTCAATTTAGGAGATTATGTCTATTTTAAGTAAAGGAAGTGCAACGACGTTGTGAACCTCCAGTTGTGGGCGTACGTATATCTTAAACAATGTCAAGAATTATTCTTGGGTGATAGTACCGAGTTGTCTTCGCATTAAACGAAGAGCTGAATTAACCTTGGCTGCGTCGGCTATATAGTTTGAGCTCATGTGAAGGCTTTCTGTGGTTACTAAGCCGAGACCGCGTTATGAAGAGATATTAAGTGTCTGATTTCCATTGAGGGTGTGAGTCGTTCGTGTCACGTGGGGTAGAATGTACATAACGTGACATTTTGAGTGATTTGTTTTTATGCCGTTTTTTACAGCTCACTCCTCAATGGATGTAAGATCCTTCTGAAGCTCAGCCTAATTCTCTTCACTTCTTATGACACTCAAGATATTTGCGTCGACTGCGTAGATAAATAGCGTCGAGCTAACTTTGTCTGACAGATAGTTAATGAAGATCAGGAAGAGTAGGGGAATGATATCCTCTGATGAGAATCGCCAACTCGCCAGCGCTCAATTTGCTTTGGTGCGAAACCTTTCATTCTGAGCCAAGAAAGAAGTGGGTCAATGAAGCCAATTTCCGCAACT